CTCGTTGTACAACACACGCCGTAGATTTCCAAGGTAATTACCCAAGTAAGCCCTGCCCAAGCTCTGCCCAAGCCCTGGAGAACCTTGGGAAGGGCCTTTGGTCACGGGCACTTTTTATCCTGGGAATATCACATAGCGATACAGAGCAATATACATTGTTCTGGACACTAAGATGTAAGATGTATTCTTGGTATATGGAGTATATTCCATTGTAATCAAAATTGCCAGTGCTGCAGCCAATTTCGCATCAGCGAGGAAGAGACCGGGTCTAGGGCTCTTATGCTGACACTTGCCTCCCTCGCCCGTCGGACATCCAGCGCCACACACAGGGCACTACCCTTGTCTGGTAGCCCACGGTAGAAACCTAGCGGCTGAAGCGCGGGCTTTGAAGCAATTTCCGCACTGCCAGGGTTGGATGTACTTTCCGGATCGTCAATCCACGCAGACATTGGAGTTGGCTCGACCGCATTCTGGCTTTGATTGCGAGTATCAATGACTGCCATAGTACTCGTTCGGGATTCGTGAGATAAAACACGACCCACCATGCCTCGTGTGAGCTCCTATGACGTTGGTTGACAATTTCCACTATCATATTGGATAGAGTGTCCTGAACAAAGCATGTAGCATGTCAGAAAGGGTGATCGGCGGTAGGTCTTGTTTTTTTCTTTTTCTTTTTTTCTTCTCGGCTACGGGGCTTTTGGATCTAACAAAAATGTACAACATAGTTCTCAGGATGAGGGGCTTACTACTGACACCCAATCGACCTCGGCTGAGCCCAGTCGGTTAAGCGTTTTACCCATCACTTTCGATGTCGCAATCATCGTCGGTAGCCAGTCCTGCGGATTCCAGTGTCCGCGCGCGCTGGTCGCTCCGGCGATCTGGCCGACGGGATACACTGACGTGGGGACACGAGATCTCTGCGAGGCTTCAAGGCAGATGCGCTCGGCAATGTGCTTGGATTCGCCGCAGCCTTGCGGGGGAACTATGGCAATGCCCTCCATTCAATTGTGGGGTCCAAGCGCCTACCGCACTGATGGAGGAGATGAAATGAAGATGGGCGGTGCTGCAGCTGCTCAAGCTTCAAGGCTGCACATATTTGTAATAGTCTGATTGGCCACTTGCACTATCGGCTAGACCTCCTAGATTGAATCAATAGAGAATTGTGCGTCCATATCCGGTACTCCGTGACTCAGCTCGATGAGAAGCCCTGCCTGGAACTCCCAACCAGCGGGTGTCCTTCGATGGTAGTCTCCATCCCGACAGGAGTGAACTTCTCACCGTGGCTTAGGACAATCACATCATACTAACACCCATCGAGCTTCCACAGATGAGGGTTCGTCGGGTTTCGGGGTCTAAAAATCGTTGGTTCATTACACGTTGATGTCAGGGTATATGCGGACAATTCCTAGGAGCATTATCCTGCCGAGGAATCACCTTCTCAAATAAACCCTCCAACCCTCCCTCATATGACTAGAGGCGCACCTCCTAAGTAAAATGGCTTGAATTCTTTCAAACTAGCTAGTGATTTGTCGGAGTAGCTCACGTCTTCCAGGATCGAGGGTGCGCAGAGTGCGACTGTGGGGTGGGCAGGACGCAGCAGCTCTATCATACCGTCGACCAAAAGTGGCTTATCTGGGCTGATGAGGGTGGGAACTACGAACCATAGTGAGAATGCGAAGGCTATCAGTCCCAGTAGACGGAAGAAAGGTGTCGTGGCCATCACTAGCTCGGTTTGACCGTGATCGTGGAACATAGATGGCTGATGACCCAGCGGCCTTGGGATATGAGAATTTAGAAGATGGTCACGAAGAAGCTGTTAGTGAGATGCACCGGCTTTGGCATGTTCACGGAATTGCCCGTTGTCTCGGAGCTCGGGACGATGCACATTGTATCTTTCTCTGTATCGGCAGAGGACGTGGTATATGAATAGTGGCGAAGGCCATCCTTGTCACCGAGGATTCTCTTCTTAGCCAGGACCTGGAAGGTTTCTAAGAACCAAAACATGTCCATGGATCTAGAGGGTTCGTGCCTGGTGCTCCTCCCTGCAGAAGCACTTGGTGTAGTTCGTCGCTTTTGGGTAGATAAACATAGGCTTCATCCGATAAAACTCGGTCCGATTTTCCCATCTTCAGCCTATATTGCTTGATTCTCTTGCCTGGTATCCGGTCTTCTGTTATAAAGGCATTGATAATACATTGCGCACATTACTGCCCCCTCTATATCTAGGTCAACGTCTCTCGGGAATATGACGGTCTCATGATGCTTTTAACCCACCAACACAGGACACTCACAGCCCGTGCTAGGGTTTCAATTGAAAGATCTTGGAACCCATTGCTTATTTCTGATCCCTATAGAGTGATTGTAGATTGTTGACTAAGGATTGGTGTCAGCACGGTCATCTGCCGTTCTCGCAAGCAGTCTTTCCGACGAGACTTCATGCCCTTCTGTGACTTGAAGTGAGTTAGATGTCAAGTGGAACTCTGCCGTAAGAATACTAGGAGATTCTGAATAGAACATACGGCGGGTTGGGGAACATCAATTCAAAGGGGGGTACACAATCCATCTTTGAATCCAACTTGGTTCCAAGGAGCGACCCAACACCCAAGCAAAACGATCTACGCTCGGAGTGTCAGCTGAGTGGTGAATCACTATTCCGTAGTCCCTTACTCTAGTTTAGTTGCCGTACAAGATATGGAGCGTGAAGCTTATCCATTATGGGACTAACTGGCATGGACGTGTGGATCCCTGCTTATATGACACTAGTTCACCCCCACTCGAAACATCCTCCCCATGCCGAGCATTGCTACGTCTCGTGTTGGCTTCATAGGGATGGGGTTTCTCCTTCTTCTCAGCACAGCACAGCAAATTGGTTGTACCAGAAGACTACAGATGGTTCGTGACGGTGATGATCATCCTTGTGTACGTATACCAGTGGACCAACTAGCTATGCGTCATGTTAGCTTCCCAATCCATAACTATCCCTCGTATAAGTGCATAGATCAAGCTATCTCGGTATGGTATTGATCTACAGATGACAACGCATGGGATACGTGATGTATATGTCTGACGTCTGACATGTGTAGCTGTACGGCTCATCTTCTTTCGGGCCTTAAGACTATGATCAATTTTTGTTTGCCAGTGAATTCGCTGCATGCAGTGATTTTAAAATTACAACGACAGTAGTAACTATCGAGGTATCGGCATTTTTCCACAAATGAAATACCTAGCCTCTGATTTTCCTTGTCTCTTTCAAGGCCTGGTCATTCTCGCATGCTTTCAGAGATATATTGCGAAAGTTGGAGTTACCTGTGCATAATACCCTCGAGCCGAACGTCGACATGCAACTGCAATATATTTATCCACGTGACCGTATACATCGGGGGTTCCCAATCTCGGACCGCCGACCTACTGCCAGCCCAGAATACTCGACTTTCTGGGTGTGAGGGTTATTCAATTGTTTTGAATACGGAAAATCAGAACCAGTGGCAATAGATTCATAGCCCAATCTTCCAATGAAATTCTCTTCATACCTCGCGGCGGCGGCCATCATGTCCGGTGTTCAGGCTTCTCCGCACCCCGCACCTCAGCAGCAACAGCTCCTGGGTGTGCCATCATCGCCTTTCCAGCCCAGCTATAGCCAAGCGGACCTAGATGATATAATCAGCAGTTCGCCTCTACTATCATTCCACCGAGATCTGGTCAAGATTGAGTCAATCTCCGGCAATGAGCATGATGTCGGGCTCTTCGTCGCGCAATTCCTGGAGGCCCGGAACTTCACCGTGATAAAGCAAGAGGTACCCCCAGTGAAAGGTCAAGAAAACACCAAGACCCGCTACAACATCTACGCCATTCCAAAATCCTACACACAATCCCCCTCAATCCTCCTCACAAGCCACATCGACACCGTCCCACCCTTCATCCCATACTCCGTGCACCAGCCTGAGGACTCCCTCCCCACCTTCGACCCAGAGGATCTTATCCTAGCGGGCCGCGCTTCTGTCGACGCAAAGGGCAGCGTCGCAGCCCAAATCTTTGCGACCCTCGAAACACTAGACTCCCAACCAGACGCCAAGCTCGGTCTACTCTTTGTCGTCGGCGAAGAGATCGGCGGTGATGGAATGAAAGTCTTCTCGGACTCCAGCCTCAACTCCCAAAGCGCTCTGAAAACCGTCATCTTCGGCGAGCCAACCGAGGCAGCCCTCGTCGCCGGCCACAAGGGCATGATCGGCTTCAAGGTTCTAGCTCACGGCAGCGCTGCCCACTCGGGATACCCGTGGCTAGGCAAGAGCGCGGTCTCGGCGATTCTGCCTGCACTCTCGCGCATCGATGTGCTCGGGGATATTCCCGTCGAAGAGGGCGGCTTGCCTGCCTCTCCGAAGTATGGCCCGACGACCCTGAATATTGGCGTCATCCGCGCTGGCGTCGCGACGAATGTTGTCCCCTCCGAGGCGTGGGCGGATGTTGCTGTGAGACTTGCGGCTGGTACACCTGCTGAGGCGCGTGAGATTGTTCAGCGGGCTGTTGATGAAGCAGTTCGGGATGTTGAGGCGGAGGTTGTTTTGGACTTTGTTTCGCATGGCGAGTCTTATCCGCCGCAGGATTTGGATGTTGATGTTGATGGGTTTGATGTTACTACTGTCAACTATGGTACCGATGTACCAAATCTGGTCGTCGGTCCTGGTGTCAAGCGCTACTTGTATGGACCCGGTAGTATCTTTGTTGCTCATGGTGACAATGAGGCCTTGACTATCCGCCAGATGAAGGAGGCAGTGGTTGGTTGTAAAAAGTTAATTGAGGCTGCGCTGGAAAGAGAGGAAAAGGGTGAGGTGGCCGTATGAGGGGTTTCTTGTTGCACATTGTCTTGGTGAGGGTGTGTCTCTAGTGCTGTGTGTACATAATTTCAGCTACTAGGTCCTGTTGTCAAAAGTTCCCAACAGAGACTTAAAGGAAGCTTGCCTTTGTGTCGGAAATGCAATCTCGATATGTCATTACCAGGATCATTGCTTACTGAAAGTTAGAATTGGCAATGCGAAGACGATTGGGATACAAAGCTAGGATCCCCAGAGAACAGACGAAAAAAAGCACAGATGTAAGCGCTGTCCAGAACATATTAAAGACATCAAAGCCATAGCCAACTAAGGCTCCATGAGAGCAGAGCACCCAGCAAATCTACTGCATAGGCGCCCTCTCCCACCCCGTTTGAAGATCCCCACTAGGTTTAAACCGCGGGAATGGGTGGGCCTCAGTGTTGAAAACGTGATCCTCTAGAGAGATGAAATCACGATCCGAGAACAACAAATAGAAATACTTGAGCGTCTCAGCCATCCAATAGCTCTCCATGTTATCGCGCTTGTATGAAGGAACTGCATCCGCGTTGCCGAGCGATGTAAAGCCCTTGATACGGAAAACAGGTGCCGTGTTGGTTGAAGTAGGAATACGGGAGGTACTCTTCTTCTTCTCCACCACGGCTGTGTGTTTGATGAAAGACTTGAAGATCTCCCAGCCCCACTGGCGGTAGATGTCATCGCCGGTGATACGGTAGAGGTAGAAGAGGGACTCGACTGTTTCCGGGCGTTGTAGATTGTGGCGGTCGTTGCGGTGGACGTCGATATCTGCGCGCCAGGGCTCGGACGCATCACTCTGTGCCTCTAAGGGTTGGGAGATGCCACGCAGTGCCTCAGGCTTAGATGCGTGACTGGGGTTCGTCGCTGAGTCTGGGTACTTGTCTGCCATCATCACGGGCGGCGAGTCAAGGATGAAATGGGAGATTTCGGCTGCGAGGCCGGTCGCCGTTGCCTGGTGCATTGCCCAGCAGGTCTTCATCAATTCTCTGGACAGGAGGATCTCCTCCTCGCGCTGTTGAGTCCAATCCGCTAACTTCCGGGCGTGGGATAAGGGCTGGCCACCGGTCGCGCCGAGCGCGATTGTTCCGGGCATGAAGCACACTAGGTGGTCCATTCTTGGTGACAGGTCCTGGTCCAGGCCTTGGGGCCGCTCGCCG